GAAAAGTTTCAAGACAAATTCTCAAAGATGAGTGATGTAGTGTTCTTCTCACAAAGGAAGAAAAATGAACCTTAGGATAGCTTATTACATTCCTAAATCACTCACTAATAGGAAGATGGAGGACCCAAACAACAGTTTTTTAGTTCCTGGGATAGTGAGATCCAGTTGCAAGTACTCTCTGGAAAGAAGACCAAGCATAATTTATTTTCGAAGTAGCTGAGCACAAGCATTTGGGAAGGATTCTTCAGACATATCCCATCCCCATTTCATCTTGCTTCATCTATTATCTTTTCCTGGCCTTGAGGCCACTGTGAGTGAGACCTGTTTCAGTCCCATCCTCTTTCTAGCAAATGATGTGGGATGCTTTCAGTCTCTATACCTGCTTTATATTATAGCTGATGCTTGTTGGAAATGACTTCCATGATGTCAACAGGAGCCCTACAGTTTGCAGACATCTGGGTAAGAGCTTCCTCCTACTTAATGTGAGAGTCCGGCAAATGGTTTCTTGTGTTATGAATTATTCACTTGTGAATAATTTGTTTATTAGCATATACATGGCCAGTTTCCATTGCTCTTACTAGTGGACCCACTTAAGTGCTTTGGGAAACAATTTTACTCTAAGGCAAGAGATGAAAGTTGAAATTAACTTTTGATAGTTGGCTCAGGCATAAGCATTTGGCCAAGACTTGCTAATTCTTTGTTTTGCTTCCTTTCCTATGCTCTGAAGACATTTGCTTAGCATGACACCAGAGTTCTTGGTGTAGTAGAACCATTGTTCAGTCTCAGAGGCATGGAAACTCCCAGTATCAACTCCAAGTATCAGGACACGTATGTCTGTTCATTTTTTTTTTCTGAAGAGAGTTTATAGCCTCTAGTGAATTTTTAGGGTGGTCCATACAATTTATGATCTATATATATAATAAAAATATGCAATCCGCCTTCTGTGTAGTTTTACTTTCTATGATTTCAGTTACCTAGGTAGCCATGATCTGAAAATTTTACATAGAAAATTTCTGAAGTAAGCAAAATCCTGAAATTACATGTCACTTTGAGAAGCATGATGAGCTTTCATGCTTAAGGAGTGGATGGCCCTTCTACCTGCCCACTAGGAATTCAGTCATCTCATTATCAAACCTACGGGCTTATGTTCAAGTAACCCTGGTTTTTCTTACTAATAAACCTAAATTGTTAAGAAAATGATTGGTGGCCAAACAAAAGCTATAAAATATTTTATCCTAAAATGTAAAAAAATATTTACTTACTAAGGAATGAAAAGTATTGTATATTCCAAGATCTATAATAAGGATGAATAGGGATACCCCTCCATGTTATATATAGGATCATTCAGCAGTGTCTGTGGTTTCGTGCATCCACTTAGTGGTCCTGGGATGAATTCTTTTTTGATAAAAGGGGGACTAGTTCATGTATAATAGAATACTATAGTCACTATTTACCACAGTGATTCTTCCTGGAACATGCTATAATGCCTTAGATGAAAACACTAAGGAATATAGCAGAAAGTACTGGAAAGGAATATGGTGTGTGTGTGTGTGTGTGTGTGTGTGTGTGTGTGTGTGTGTGTCACACGTTTGTATGTAGAGGTGAGAGGTCAACCTCAGGTGTCACTCCTTATGCAACATCCACCTTGTTTTATGAGATGGCATATCTCAGATGGTATGGAACCCACTCATTAGGCTGTCCTGGATGGCAGCAGTCCTCAGGCATCCTCCTGCTTCTGTCTCTCCAACACTGGGATGTCAAATGCATACTATCACACCTGGCTTTTCATATGTGAGTTTTGGGGTTCAAACTCAGGTCTATGTGCTTCTGTGGCAAGTTTACTGACTGAACCATCTTCCTACCCACTATAATCATTTCCTATATTGAATCCCTGTCAACCAACTTCTTACATGAAACCTTCCAGCAGCCAGGGAATGATCACTAAGTACCACGGCCCCATGTCATGATATATGGCTGTATGTGTTTTCATTAAAAAAATTCTACTTTACTTATGATGTTTTTACACTAAAAATGACATTGGCAAGAATGATGGTCAAAGAAAACAGTAAAAGACTAAGGATAGTGTAGTATGGTGAATGTCTATTTGGAAAGATAGGAGACATAGGAGGTAAGGGGTCACAGGATTGGAGCAGCAGAAGTAAACCTGAGATTCTTGGTGTCTATAGAAAAAAGGGGAATCCTAGCTCTTCCTGTCTGATGCAAGGACACACACTGTGTTTCCATAGGAGGAAGATATTTTCCTGTGTTCTAGGGTGATTTAATGACTCTTTTCTGTACTGTGAACCTTTAAGATGCACAGTACACAGTGGCTGTTTGCCAGATGTCTTCCTGGAAACACACAGATATCTTACTGGAACCATAAAGACATTTCTTGAAATAATCCTCAATAGAAACTGGACTCTAGTTTTTAAAAAAATGGATAAGTGGTACTTAATTGCCTCAATAAGTCAGTTTCCAGCTGCATGTCCCAGATAAAGGCGTGGAGCTTATTTCTGGAGGTGGTTTCAAAGACATGAATTCCATTTTTCTCTATTTACTAGAAGACGGTTGATGCCAATGAAAGCTTTCTTGCCCTGGTTTCCTAACAGAAAGACATTCAAATTAATGCATCTTTTTCCTTGGCCACCCTAAGCTCCTCCTTTGCAGTGACTCTCTCTGCAGACCACAGTGAGACGGAAACTGGGGAGAAGGATCCAGACACACCATGGCTTAACTCTAACTCTTGATGCAATGGGAAAATTAGGACCCAATGGAACCCTAAAGACCTGCTCAGATCCTGTTTTGAGATTTGAGTCAAAAGAAGTGAAAGATTTAGAGTGTTATCCCTTTTAGGATCTTGACATCTTTTTCTTGGCTCTTGCCTTTGGTGTACAAAGGTTTTTTGTTTTGATTTTGTTGCTTTTTTTGAGCAGGTTTTCATATGATTAGAAATAGATGCATTGATACATTGTGGTAGAAATTGTTTCAGATTGTTTAGTTTTTAGAAAGAGACTTTATTTTTATTTTTTATTTCTGTGTCCCTCTGTGTATGGGTGTATATGTGCCTGTGCACACTGGTGTCCACTGAGGCCAGAAGAGGACACTGGATCCCTTAGAGTTAGAGTTGCAGGTGGTTGTGAGCCATAGGACCCAAGTGTTAGAAACTGAACTCATAAGAGCTGAGCCATCTCTCCATCCTAACTGTTTAGTTTTGAAACTACATAATTAGGATGCTATTTAGTATTCAATGAAAACTTCAATTTTTTAAGAAACATTTTGAACATGTTTATGTACATTATAATCAGGAATTTATTGGGTAGCCCTGGAATTAGAAGTCAGGGAGTTACAGTAGTTACTGGTAATATTATCAATTCAGTTAATTTTATTTTCTGATAGTTACTTAAATCAGCAAATTTAAATCTGTAGAGAGTTACAGTGGCTACTGGGAATATCATCAATTCAGTTAATTTCATTTTTAGTAGTCGTCTATCAGCAAATTTAAATCTATTTTCAGATGTCCTGTCCACAAGAAGTCCATATGGTAACTCTTACTCTCCAGGACATTGTGGGAGGAGGTGGGGCCTAGTGGGAGGTCTTCAGGGCATTGGAGGAATACTCTAGAATGGAATTATAGTATTCCCAACCCCTTTCTCTTCCTCTGTTTAAATTTATTAGTTTTTTGTTGTTGTTGTAGTTGATGCTAAAATACACCCAGTTTATAAACATGAAGACTCTATGGGAATGATTTAGGCTTAAAATGTGGATAAATTCACACATAATAATTAGTTTATTATTTATTTATTTTTAATTTTTTATGTGCATGAGTGTTTGCCTGCATGTATGTTTGTGCACCATGTACATGCTTGGTGCCTGGTGTCAGACTCCCTAGAACTGGAGTTGCAGATGACTATACGTCCCATGTGGGTCTTGTGCAAGAGCAATGAATGCTTGTCACTGCTGAGCCCTCCCTGCACCTCCAATAAACTCAGGTTTTAAAGCACTAGTATCTTTGCTGATTCTGTTTTCCTCTGCATGGTGATGGCAGTGAGCTATGTCATAGCTTCTGTCCTCAAATGTAAATCCAACAGCAGCAAAAGAAAATACTTTGACTGAGCTCCTTCAACCAGATTCTGGCATTATTTTTGGTGTGATATGAAGTGGTCTGATGAAATGAAAGGGTACACACCGGATGGGGATAGAGTTAATTGATTGGTTGGAACCTAGAGGTGGAGCCTTGAGACTAAAGATAGAAAATAGGGCTCCTGATAGAAAATGGAGTATGGATGCTGAGTGGAAAAACACCAAGCCCAAAGAAGATAACAGATGGAGGGGAGGCAGGCAAGGTGTAGGGATGGGACTGATTATGAAAGAAGAACATGTTCTCATGTTTGAGATGGTAGCAAAGATGAAATACACAGGCAATTAGACATGTAGGTGGGGCAAGTTAAGGAAATGCATGTTAAATAGTTTTATTTTTAACTAAATGCCATGAGAAGAAATATGTAGTGTTTAAAAAATAGCTTAAATCTATTGCATCAATTATATTACAGCAAACACCAAGAAATAAAAATAATAAAGTTGTACAGATGGTAGATCAAATAAATGCTTTCATTTCCCCCAATTTAGACATCATTTTTGTAAAACCTAACCATGATTTTTAAACTTCACAAAATTCTTCATAACATTTTAGTTGCATTCCATAGAATACCATTCCATAGAATAACTCACTTAGACATTCTACTGAAAACGGCATCGTAATTGCTTCTATTGTCAATCTTAGATATAATGCTACAATTGTTACATACCCATCTACTGCTTTTTTCTTTGGGGTGTTTCTATAACATATGTCCTCAGGGACAAGATATTGTTGTGAAAGACAATGTATATTTTATGTCTCCTAAATTTGTTACAAAATGATACTTCACATGTGAGTAACTACCAATGCCCCCTGTCATATCTGAAAATACTAGTTTTATCATGTGCTGAACATTTTAGACATTTTATCCCATTAATACCTATAAGAGAACAATTAATAGAACACATTAAACCACTAATGCCAGGAGGGATCTCACACTTTGGTCATGATAACACATTTAATGTTCAAAATAAATGACAGAAAATTTATAATGATCTCTTTTTTACAAATAGGGAAACAAAGATATAAAAGACTAAGTAAGCCACCAAGGGCCCCTTAGCTAAAAATGGGAGAGCTGGTGTTTGGACCATAGGCTTGAGGCTGTATTGCCTTATGATAATTTTTGGAGAATGTTTCTGCACATCCTGTTAATGACTATATACTCTTGTGTGAGAATTTCATCATGGCCTTATCTGGTAGGTTCTTGATATTTCTGCCCCAGAGGGAATAGTGCAGTTTCTATAATTTGAATGCCTCAGATAGGGAGAGATTTCCTATAAATCATGTATTTTCTTTATCCCTCACCTTTGTGTCTGGTGTTTGAAATTAATAATTATATTTTTAAAAAGTCCAAGTATTTTCATCTAACCTAAGAACACCAGGGTTTTTATTTTAGCTTTGATGGTTGTGTCACTTAATTCATCCCTGCTGGTTTCCATGGAAACATACCTTTTGGGTGTGCTTGAACATCTGAAATGTGGGTACTGCTCTGATGTTACAAAGTTGGGTCAGTTCCTGGGAAAGAAAAGAGATGCCGTGAAGTCACAGTTTTGGTGACTCTCTCTGTACCAAGTGTGCTACTTTATGACTTCTAAGAACTGTCTTAAAGCCTAAGGGCACCTGACACTTTACAGAAGTTGCTAACAGTCTCAAAGCCTCCAGGACACCCCTTGTGTAAAGAGGACCATTCTGGAACTCTTGGGTTTCTCTTTCCAGAGCTCTAGGTGAGGGATGAGATAAAGGTCAAATGGAATGGATGGGGAGTGGCTAAATGAATTGTACTTAACAACACTGATGATGGCAGAGGAGTGCCAGGAAGCCTAGTATGAAAATATCATGTTGCAAAAACAGGAAGGAAAAGGCATGTCTTCATCTGTCACACTGAAGACATGGCACACTCAAGGCTAGCACTTTGTTTTCCCTTAAGCCTTGTTACCCTTTCTTCCTCACTACTCATCTTTACTTCTAAAACATTTGGAGCCAAAGGACAAGAGAAAGGGCCAGGATTCCACAGTTTTAATCCAAATCAAACTGCCTCCAAGTGGTATTTGTTAGTTTCCCTTGTTTGGAAGCTGAATAAAATTGGCTGTCCATGGACAACAGAATTGAACTCTCCTGTTGACATGCCATTTGACTGACTTTAACTCCTTTCTGCCCACGACACACACAAACACAAAGAAGCATCTCACACACACCAAGTTGTATTTTTAGTTGTAATTGCCACGGCAACAGCGACTCAAAAAGTTATTATTAGAAAAGTGTGTCTTTTGCTTCATCATAAGAGACAAAAAGCTATAATCAAAAAGCTGAGGGTAACTTGTGTTGTCAAGAATGTGGGCAAATCAGAACTCTCTGCTGTAGCAGTGAGAATGTAAAATGATGTGGTTTCTTTACAAAATGGTTTTCTAATTGCTCCATATACCATCAAAGAGTAGTAGCAACAACTACACATGTAGATATAGCTCCAAGAGAAATCAAAACTTATGCTCATGCAGAAATTTTTTTATTTGAATTAAAAACAGGATTGTTTTACATGACAATCCCAGTTCCCTTGTCCCTCCCATTCTCCCCTACCAACCCCCTCCAACTAAAACCCTACCTATCACATATCCTTTCTGCTTCCCCTGGATAGGCTCACACAGAAATTTATGCAGTAAAATTTGTACAAATATCACAATAGCTGAAATCTTCCCAGGTATGCCAAGTCTGTGTCATTTACAAAATTACAACTAATTGTGACACAGAAATTAACTAATTTCAGATTTTCTCATCATTTTAATGCTTATCTTCAACCCAATGCTTGGGTAGGTCACTTGCTGTCTTTTCTGCCATAGTTTGGCGGCAGAATGCCTCTCCTGGGTTAGTAGCCTGGTCTCTAGCATGGAGCCATTGGAGGTAATGGGACCTCTAAGAGGTGAGGCCTACCAGGAGGCTGGTAGTCCTTTTGGGCCATGCCCAGGAGGATTGTGGGATGTTGGCCCCTTCTTCCTCTCTTTTTCTTCCTGCTAATGACAAGATTATTTCATTCTGCCATGTGCTCCTGTCCAAATGTGCTGCCTTCCACAGGTCCAAAAGCAGCTAGGCTTTGAACAAGGACTCGAATTTCCAAAATGGTGAGACAAAATAAGCATTTCTCTTTCTCTTAGGCATTTTTCTATAGTGACAGAAAGCCAATTAATATAGTTGTATTCCTTATTATAAATTAATAATCCCTGGGACAAATAGGTCCTAGGAAATATTTTATATAGCAATAAGACATATTTGGCTTGAGACTAGGAGGCTGATTATTTTGGGAAAGGGAACAGGAGAAGTTGGAGGCTAGATCTAGGGACAAGAGGTAAGCATTTCCTGGAATTTTTTATGCTATATAAATACCCCCCCCAAAAAAACCAAAGACAGGATACCAAAATGAGTTATGTCAAAATATCTATAATTATTGACCTAGGTTTTAGAAAATGATTAATAACTTACCACAACCTAAAAATAATTTTTAATGTCTGCCTAGATTAGTGATTCTCAAACTTCCTAATGCTGTGACCCTTTAATACAGTTCTTCATGTTGAGGTGACCCTCAACCATAAAATTATTTAGTTGTTACTTCATAACTATAATTTTGCTATTGTTACAAATCATAAATATTTGGTATGTGACCCCAAAGGGGATGTGACCCACAGGTTGAGAACCATGGCCTAGAGTAACAAGCTGAGGAGCATGCCATGAAGACTGTTGGGATTGACTGGTGCTGTCTGTTACAGCAGGAGGGAGTACCATGTATTTGCTAATATTTAAAGAAAATTATGTAAAACAGTTTACTACATTTATCATGAAAACAAAGATTTGGAATTACCCTTGTTTTTAACCAGGCAGTGTCATCACTTTGACAGAGTGACTCAGTGACATTGGGCTTTGATGCTCCACACACAGGATTTAAGAGTCTTACCTTAGCCGAGTCCACATCCACATTAGCAAACATGACGTTTTGGTATTTTAAAGACATTGCCTTCAAACAAAAAAATAAAATAATATAAATATTAATACTTGAACCAAAAATGTCATTTTGATAAAAAGAAATGTGTGAATGTATGACTCAGTTCCTTCCTTCCTTCCTTCCTTCCTTCCTTCCTTCCTTCCTTCCTTCCTTCCTTCCTTTCTTCCTTCCTTTCTTCCTTTCTTTCTTTCTTCTTATTTGATTTTAATACAGGGTTTCTCTGTGTATCTCTGATTGTCTTGGAACTCACTTTGTAGACCAGGTTGGCCTTGAACTCAGAGATCTGTCTGCCTCTGCCTCGAAAGTGCTGGGTTTAAAGGTGTGTGACACCCTGGTCCAGCTACGACTTGGTTGTTAAAAAGACCTAAGCATCATTCTGAAGGTTAATTTCAGCCTAGAACTTGAAGCTCTTCAAGGTCAAGTGAGGATCAATTGCAGAGTCTAAGAACAAAACTGACGATTGGCATTCTAAGATTTGAGGACAAAATACAGAGCAATTGATTTGTGTGCAGTGAGGCCAGACCTATCCCGTCAGGGATGGGGAGGCAAAACAGTATTTTCCTCAAGGTGTCAAGAGATTACCTGTAATGGTTTTCAAAATTTGTCTGGGGTGATGGAGATGGGCTTAGATCACTATTAGAAATGGTCCCATGGTCCTGGCATCCCAGCAGAAAGATGCAGTTCTCTGAACCAGATATGTACTTGGTGCTTTGACCTTCTTATCTGGACAGGGTTTGGGAGGTGTGATACTGGGGACAGTAGGTTTCCTGGTGACCATCATCAGCCTAGTTTTCCACCTTCCCACATTCTCTGCAGTCTATCAGATATTGAAACTAGATTTTCCAGACTACTTTGACAGCTGACTTCCAGTTAGTCAATGGGAAACCATAAAAGGTGGTAGGAAAAAGGGGCTGTCTCCTGCTTCTATTTTGTTCTGGAAATGTCTACAGCAGAAGTGGTGACAACAAGGTTTGGCTCAGGGAATGCAGATGAAGGACAGTAGTGACTTATGCCAGCACAGATTTATGTTCAGACAGCTGTTGGTCACTTGGTAGTATCTTGATTTGTTTAAAAATTATGTCACAAGTATTTATAGTCACCTCTGTCAAATGAGACTACTCCTGGAAGATGACATACAAGGTGTCCAAAGCTTGGCCAAGTGGAGTCAATACCACAAGGAGCTATCCCTGGGGAGGAAGAAGCAGGAAACGTCAAGGCAAGGGGAGGGCTTAGATGGATGCCTGAGAAGCCTGCTTCTGTAATCCTCCCTGAAATTTTGTGTGTGGATTGTAATTTACATGGGGGTTCTTTCTCCTGTGGTCCCTTGAAATGGTGATATGGGAGAAAATTCTTGTATAATAAATGCAAAGACCACCAGGCAGTGATGGTGCACATCTTTAATCCCAGCATTCTAGAGGCAGAGGCAGGTGGATCTATGTGAATTCCAGGCCAGTCTGGATGAGTTCCAGGACAGCCAGGGCTACACAGAGAAACCCTGTCTCAGCAAACCAAACCAAATAAAAACACAACAACAAAATAAGCACAAAGACCTTTGGGTTTGAGAATATTTTTCAGATTAAAAAGATGATTCCGAGATGGGTGTGATGTGGTATAACTCTAATCCCAGCACTTGGGAGGCTGAGGTAGGAAAATCACAAGCCTGAGGCCAGCCAGCTAATATATGGAGTTCTAGGCCAGGCCAGCTTGTGCCAGAGTCTGGTCCCAACCACAGCTTTCTCACCTGCTTTCCAGTGACTGAATAAGCATTTAATTCTGGGTATTAAAATCCTTGTTTAACTTTATTTCTCTTTCCTGATTTGATCTCTGATGGGTGCAGTGACTAGACAGTGCCTTCCTCCCAACCCCTCATGGACAACAAGTTTAACAAAATCATATGAAATACCCAAATATGCTCCCTTATGAAAGGTCGGGCATTACAGTACAGCAGATGCAAAATCCTTCCATTCACATTTTCCTCCAACGGTCCCTTATTCACAGAAGTTTTTCCCTCTTTTGATAGGTATCCTTCTGCTCTGTTTTATCTGCATATATAAGGAATGAAGCTTACATAATTCCTTTTAATTCTTATATAATCACTGCCTATTGAAAGACGTGAGCTTTTCTTTTAGCTTTTAACTATTAAAGGTAAATGCTATGAGTGTTCATGAGTAGGTTCATTTTATTTGAGTAAGAGTACAACTGTTTGTTAGGTCATTGATTAATCCAATGTTAATTTTTAGGTCATAGGTTAATTACTTAATATGGTATACTAAGTTATTTATAGGACTATATTTTTCTAATATTCTAATATTAAACATTTAGTTTATATGCCTTATAAGTAATTACTAAATTTTCAGAGTAAGTGTATTTTTTCACCTTTCTACCAACAAAAATATAACAATACTGCTTCCCCACATCATCTAACAATACGTTTTTCCCACATCATCACCAGTTTCAAAAAAAAAAAAAAGACTTGTATTTTAGGGCTAGAGAAATATGTCAGTAAAGTATTGGGTGTTCAGTCATGAACACCTGAGTCTGATCCCCAGAACCCATGTGATAAATAATTAGGTGTGGTTGTGTTCACTTGTAATTCCAGCTCTGGGGATGTAGAGACTGATGAATCTCAGGGGCTCGTTAGCCACGAGCCAGGTTAGCCTTTTAGTGAGTTCCAGCCCAGTTAGAGATCTTCCCTCAAAAAAACCAAGCCAAACCAAAATAACATCAGCAAACAAGAAGGTAGATGGTGTTTGAGGAATGAAGGCAGCTGAGTTGTCTTTAGGCCTCCACCTGCACACACACACACACACACACACACACACACACACACACATAGGTGGCATACTATGTGCCTTTTTTATTGGCTACTGGCATCAGTGTGGTTTGTCTGCCAGACACTAAAATGTTCCTTCTGAATAGTCCAAGAATTTCCAGCACAGTAGGGATGCTGAAGTGTCATGTAGAAGTTGGGGGGATGGCTCAGTGGGTAAAGCCCTTGCCATGAAAGTGTAAAGACTGAGATATCTAGAACCCATGCACTGCCATTAGGTATGCTGGCCTGCCTATAATCTCAGAATGCAGTGGGTCCCTAGAGCAACATGGTTAGTCAGATTAGCTTGAACAATGAGCTCTGAGTTCTACAAGAGACTTTGCTTCAATATGTGAGATAGAGAGGAACTGAGGAAAACATCTTATATTAACCTTGGACCTACACATGTAAATATCCATACATGCATGTACACTACACCTTTCTTTTTTTATTCTTTTATTAGTTCACATGAGGAACAAGCTTGTTTCACATGTCAATCCCTTCTCCCTCTCCCTCCCCTCTCTTCTCAACATCCCCCCTGCCCCTAGCCATCCCCCCTCCACTCCCCAGGCAGGGTAAGGCCCTCAAAAGGGGCTCCCCAAAGTCTACCACATCATCCTGGGCCAGGCCTAGGCTCTTCCCCATGTTTGTGTTGGTCATCTATGGTTGGGCAACATTACGCCTTTCTTTATCTGCTACAAATTCATTTACAATTCAATATTGATGGTTGTGACTTGTAAGAATTAGTTTCAGCAGATTCAAGAGGCCACATGAGAAAATCTAAGAAGTTTAAAAACCTCACTGAAAACAGACTAAATGTTTTTAGTTGTATCATTGTGGTAGTTTCAATGTAACTGGCTCACATAATCTCATAGGGAGTGTCACTACTAGGAGGTGTGGTTTTCTGGGAGTGGGTATGGCCTTGTTGGAGGAAGCCTATTACTGTGGGGGTGGGCTTTGAGATTTCCTATGCTTAGGGTACCACCGAGTGTTTCAGTCTACTTCCTGGTGTCTTCTCGTCAAGATGTAACCAGCACCATGTCTGCCTACATGCTGTCATGTTCTCTGTCATGATGATAGTGGACTGAACCTCTGGAACTGTTAGTGAGCCACTGTGGTTATGGTGTCCCTTCATAGACCCTAAGCAAGACAATCATCATGGGATTAAAAGTTTTTTATATTTGAAGGAAGGAATACATGTCACAAAGGTGACCATGAAGAACCAGGAGAAAGGAAACTAAAATTCCCTGGCATGAGTGCTGGAGAGACTTCTCAGTGGTTAAGAGTACTGGCTATTCTTCCAGAGGATCAGGGTTCAGTTCTTGGCACACACATGGCAACTAACAGCTGTCTGACTCTAGTTCCAATGTTTTCTTGTGACCTTCACAGACACCAGGCATGCAAGTGGTGCACAGACTTATATTACGGCTAAACATAAATATTGCCTCACTCTGTCATCTCTTTTAATATTTGTAAGGTCTGAGTCCTGACTTGGGTAAGATGTAATGATATGAATTCCCATTTATTTGTATGCTGTAATTCTTCAGCATGTACTGGTGTTCCTTGGTGAACTGCCCACAGAAAAATAATCCCAATCTTTGGGTATCTCCTAATGAGATTCCAGGATATTAGCTTCAGGTTCATTGGGATGCTTAAAAACAAACAAGCAAAACAACTACAATAGAAGTATACCCTACAGATAGTTCAGAAGTAGGAAAACTTTTCAGAGTGGCTGGGAGAACTTTTGGGAAGCTAAATTCCTTTGGCAACTATGTGATAGACACTAGGAATACCTGGAAAATGGGGCCGATGGTTTTGCAGGGGCCACACCATTTTGCTGAGAACTCCACCACAACAAGCCTGTTCCCAGCAGTCCTTAACAACTCTTTCAATTCATCCTAAAACCAGAACACATGGAAAAAATGGGTATGGTCATGGACTCTCACAAAGTCTTGCAAGAAATAAAATGAAACTCTTGCAAAGGGCACAAGAGTAGGGGGAGTCTTCAAATCCAGGCACCCTTCCTTACTGTCCCACAGACAGTCCAACCTTTTCTGAGTGAGTCTGAGGCTAGATATAGCTTTCTTTGCAAGTACACAGATTGTGATACATTTACAAATAAGCTAGAAGTTTGCTTACCAAATGGCACAGTAGCGGCGGCTACCTTAGGGAAGAAGCAGGTCAGTCAAGGAGAAATGAAAGTATTAAGGTGAAAGCAGAAGAACTGTGCCAGCTGGATGTCTGTAGCCAATAATTTTAAAGACAGGTGAAACACATCAATGGTGAAATGTCTTGCTTTGTGGGAATATTAATACCATTCATCTAATGATTTGACTTACTTACTTACTCATTTGCTAAACTTTCTTAGTAAAATTTCCAATAGTTGTTGCCAACACCTAATTAAAGTCTTCCATCCTGGAACCTCAGGTCACTGTATTTATATTTGCTGATTACTGTCCTAAACTAGCTGTTTGTGGCCTGATTTTCCCTATTGGAATCACTTCTAGTTTTTCCTTGTTCTTCCCCAGCCCGTCACTTGCAGATGGTAAGCCCTTATGGAATGCCCAATGGGTGAGAGAATGATAGCTACAGGGAGTGCTATTCCCAGTTTATTTTCTCATTATTCACTGGAATTGAGATGAGCTCATCCAGTCCGATGTTCTGAACTGTGGTCTTTATGCCCACTGTGTTCAGTATATGTCTCATCCTATTGATTTCACAGCAAAGGACACAGTTGTTCACCAATTTTCTCATGGCCAGCCAGTGGGTGATGGTGCAGCCGGGATTGTTCATTTAGGCAACTTGACTACAGAGCATATTTCTTCAACCATTACTCATTTTTCCCAGAGATGGTCTCCACTCTTTTTACTGTGATTAACGGCATCACCTAAGTACCCCTGGACTAGGTGTTAATCAAGTTAGTTCATAAGGGGATTAAGCAGAGCATTGCCTATCCCTATTAGGGGTGGAGTTAATTCCATAGAGATGGCATACTTGCAGTTCAGCAAGGGGAACTTGACAATTAAGTTCCCATTCGGTTTAGTTTCAGGCAGGTGAGGCTGATGATTCAAAGATGCTCCCTCTATTTCTGCAGCATGGGTGACTGAATTCTCACACAGCCAAGACAGGAATCTGTTTCTCAGTTGTATCTCTATTTCCTGTGGTTTTAGAGATTATACCCTGAGCAAAGTCTACTTTTAGCCCTATTGTTCCTTTTTTTTTTTATTTTGCTTTTCAAGACAGGGTTTCTCTGTATTGCTTTGGAGCTTGTCCTGGAACTTGCTCTGTAGACCAGGCTGGCCTCGAACTCACAGAGATCCTCCTGCCTCTGCCTCCCAAGTGCTGGGATTAAAGGTGTGCACCATCATCATCTGGCCCCTCTTGTTACTTTTGATTTTGAGATAGAATTTCACTATTTTGCCTAGGCTGAACTGTGTACTCGCTATATATAGCCTAGGCTAGCCTCTAACTTGAAGTTCTCTCACCACTGTCTCCGGAGCAGCTGGAAGTACCAGCCTGCACCACTACCCTGGCTTCTCATGTGCTTTTGAGGTTACACAGCAAGCTCCAAGTCAGCCAGAGTTACATGGGTTCTTCTTTTAGTGAGACCCCAAGACAAGAGACATAAAACAAATGAAAGAACAGAAAGATCTCCCTTGATGTCGAGCAATGGATGGAGCCTGGGTAGAGGAAATAATTCTGAGTGTTTATCAAGTCCCATTTAATATACTTTTTATGTGTCTCGTGAAATATTTTGTGAAGCCAACAAATACTTGCCATGTCATTAATCACTTGCACCATGGTTAATATCTGGGACTTGCTGGCGACCCTCTCCTGTTGGTTCAGGTGGATCACTGTAGCTGTCCATTAATTATGGCATTCTGGATGGAATATAAAGATAGCTTTCCTGTGACATCATTGACTAGGTCATCTCAGAACCTGGAACTTTGGCAGAGTCTGATCCTAGTTTCACCTTTAGGCTGTGACTAGGCAACTAGTTTGCCAGCCAAGAACCTGAAAACCAAGGGCTTCGGGCACAGAAGCCAATCACCAGGTCCTATAGTCTTGCTCTTATCCTTTTGTCATTGGTTTCTACACATGTCTTTCTTTTCAGTCAGACATCACCTTAGGATCAGAAACTCACAGCTAATTTCATTTGGGGTTTTAAAGAAACTGTCCCTTGTTTGCTGTTCTGTGGTGTGGTTGAGGGAAAGATGCCCTCTCCCTCCTCACCTTTGCCACCTGTGGCAGGCAGAAGAGCTGGCCTTGGGGCATGAGAACAAGATTGCTGGCCCTCTCCCTCACCAGCTGCAGCACTTGCAAGAGCAGCTCGGTGCCTCAACTGGGCAGCACAGTAGAGCTGGCCCTGGTGGTGTCAGTGTGGGCGAACCCGCCCTGAGGGCATGAGGGTGGGAGAACTGGCACTGCCCCTTGTGAAGGGGCCAGTCACACAGGATCTCCATGACATGGTAACAACAGGATATCCAGGAGTCCCAGTGAGTCCCAGTATTGATAGTGTAGCCGAAACCAGAGACCTCAAACCAGGCCAGTGACTCATTGTAATGAAAGTTTGTAAGTAAAGACTGGTGACACATTACAGCTTCCATGATGAGATTTTTGTTTCTTTTTGTCTTTTTTTTAAATTTAATTTAATTTTTTGGGGGGAGGTTGCGAGGGTTAGAGGGCAGATACAAAGGGATTGGGGTGCATAATGTGAAATCCACAAAGAATCAATTAAAAAACTGTGTTGGGTAGAAAAGTACTAATACCTTAATCCAGTAATGAGCTTCCTGTAAATTCTTTTCATGACTCACAGATTCCAGAACTTCACTGTTTTGCTCTAAACCACTCAGAGTATAAAGAAACTTCACGTTCACACAATCAGAGGTTGGCAAACTTTTTTGTAAGGGGCAGATAATATTTTAGGCCATATACTGTTTTGTTGTAACACCATCTTTGTGTTAATAACTTTTAAAAACTGTAAAAAAAAATTCTTTGCTAGCAAGCTGTACCAAAACATAACATAACAAAACAAAACAAAACAAAACAAAAAGCAATCAATTTAAGATTTTTCAGAATTGAAACAAAACAAATAAATCTGGCCATGGCTTCTGTTCCTCAATTCCTTAGAGCAACAAGGACAACAAAAAATGTGAGAAATGGCTATTTCCACAATAAAAGAAAAAGAGGAATATCTTTTTTTTAGTTTTTTATTTTTTATATATTTGAATTACAAACAAGATTGAATTACATGACGATCCCTGTTCCCTTCTCCCTCCCTTCCTCCTCTACCACCCCCCAACTAAAATCCTACCTATCATATTTCCTTTCTTCTAATCTACACCTGACTCAAAATTTCTGCTTCCTCATGACCTCTGTATCCTTCCTTTTCTTTCCTCCCCCGTTCTCAATTTGCTCAGGGGATGGTGACCCTTTCCCCTTCTCCAGGGGACAAAGTTTGTCTCTTTTAGGGTCTTTCTTGTTTAACTAGTTTCAAAGAGGAATATCTTTGTTTGGGTTTTCCATATCCCCAGGCCTGTGTTGATGATAAGGTGAGAGACTTGTGGCTTGGCCTGGAGGGGAAGCTTGCACATGAACTCGACCTTGGTCTTCCTTGACTGGAAAGACTGAACCAGGAGTAGTCAACAGCAAGATGCTACTTTTGGTTGTGGATGTACTGATATTTTCTTCTATAACAGATAAGAGATAGAGTATTTCTGATGTCTTTGTACAATACCCCTCTTCCCAATTTTTTGTCCCCCTGAAATGCTTTGCTTATATTGCTCATCTAGACCCTGTTGGCATTAGAATTTGGTAACTTTCTACTTTTGATTCTTCTGTCATCCCAACCAAGGTCTGGCAAACTGCAGCTTAAAACAAGAAACAAACATAAACAAAACCCCAAGAAACAAGCAAAGGTCATGATTACAGATTGAAGGTCCTCATGAATTCTCACTTCCTTTCTCTCAGTTTCACTCAAGAAGGGAAGACAGATGTGAGTCAGATTGAGCATCTGTTGAACAAGGCCTTTCAGCAGAAGCCCTACTGACGCTTTGGAACAGAGTTTTTGCTATCATAGCAGGTGAGGGACCTTGTCTGCATTGTAGGATATTCAAAAGCATGGAGATGTTGGGCTCTACCTACTGGTGTCACTAGCATCCCCAAGTGGTGACAGCCATAAATGACTTTTGGGGATGTAAACTTGGGCCTACATGCTGTAACAACTGCTTCTAACAGAGGACTGACTTCTAGTTATCGATTCCATGGTTTACCTTGCAAGTTCCTGGATAATTTCATCTAAGGGAAGCAATTGAAATGCAGCAGGTTTTGAAATTCTGTGTTGCTAGAATTGATTTAGAATTCAAGCCCTGGCCACTTGTCACAGACAGAGACACAGCTAATTAATGAGAAACGTCTGTCTCATATTCTGGTTTCTGCCTCCAGAGGCTAGGCCATACTTCTGACCTCTATTGCTAGGATTTGCAGACATCACAGAATTTTCTGCCAGGCAGCTTGCCCAGCCCTAGGGCAAAGAGAGTACTGAGGAAAGCTTACAGAAGCCTGTTTGTTCTCAACTAGGATTTAAGAATCATTAAACACCAGAAAATAGTCAGGTTTACAAAACTTATATCTTAAAACATAATGTTTGCTATATTAGTTCATAGAAAGGGAAAATTTCTAGTCTCAGAAGAAACGATCTCAGTTAAGAACTTTCTAGAATAAGAGGAGTCTGGGCATTCCTTTTGGACCTGACCAGGTGCATTGTTTGCCCAACATGTGCTCACATGCATTTTCCTAGACTGATTCCTGACATCGTCATTGGAAACATGAAAGTCGGAAACAGTCTGGGGAGTTTCCTTATGAGCACTAGAGCTGCAGCTCTAGTTCAGCTATACACTGAACTGAACTCTGGAACCCAGTTGCAGAGAGGGAGGAATGAAGATCAAAGGGGTCAGGACCAGGCCAGTGAATCCCACAGAAACATCTGGCCTGAACAAGGGGGAGCACATGGCTCCCAGTCTGCTGTCTGGGAGGCCATCACGGGATCCAGAGCCCTGAAAGTGGATGTCAATAAGGCGGCCTCTGCACTCTATGGGGCCTCTGGTAGTGGATTAGTATTTTTCCCTGGTGTAAGAAGGGACTTTGAGAGCCCATCCCAAGTGAAGGGATGCTCTCTCGTCCTGGATACATGGAGGAGGGCTTAGACCTGGCCCAGGATGATGATGGAATTTGGGGAGCCCCTGTGGAGGGCCCTACCCTCCATGGGGAGCCGAGGGGGGAGGTGACTGGTGGGGAGTTGCGGGGGAGGGGAGGAAGAGGGAAAAGGGATTGACATGTGAAGCAAGCTTGTTCCTAATTTGAACTAATAAAAAAATTAAAAAAAATATATAGTCAATGAAAGAAAGAGGGTCAGGAGGGGATCGTAGACAGAGAAACAGACGTACAAGCAGGACTTTCACTGTGTGGCGATGAAGAGTGAATTCTTTTTAGTGCCCCATGTCCTTTCTATCCAAGTCCCACATAGATCTTGATACAAGGTGAAGGCCTCATTGGTAGAAATGTAGGGTATCAGACTCTATATAAGATCCATTGATTAAGAAAGAGCCTCACTCTGTATGTTACTCGTATGCATGCTGATATTTAAAAGAATGACTATCAAGATCCATTTCTAACTGAGGTTCTCTGTAGACCAGTGAATGAACTATACTGAAAGGCCTGGGAACTGTGTGCATTCCCAGACCCCACCCTGGACTTACTGACTCAGAACCTCTGAGGGTGAGGCCCAGCAGGGC